CCCCGCGGTGCTTACGAGTGCCGACCGATCGATCGGACCTTTCTCTCCCTCCCTCTCTCTCCCTCTCTCTCTCTCTCTCTCTCTCTCTCTCTGTGCGCATTGTATCGCATATTTATCGGTATTTAATCATAGAGCCGTTTGATTCTGACGCGGTTGAGTTCGGATTGATTGAATACGGGGAAACACGGTGTCATGCGATGACATTGTCAGCCGTATATTGCTTTTATCGCGCAGCCGGCCTATAAATAGCCTCGCTAACATTCGTCAATGCGAATCAATCGTCTCGCTTTATATCGCCCGAATTTCTCGCCCCATGTGTGCGATACATGCACGCGCGCGCGTGTGGTATGTATATTGTTTCCCATGGAACCTACGTGCAATTTTCACGTGTAGGATCCGACGAGTTTCTAAACTCGTCGCGAAATCACCGACGACTGAAATAGTGCAGGAGAGAGAGAGAGAGAGAGAGAGAGAGAGAGAGAGAGAGAGAGAGAGAGAGAGAGAGAGAGAGAGAGAGAGAGAGAGAGAGAGAGAGGGACTGAAGACCGAGACGGCCCCGCGGCCGAGAATCGCACAATTCCTCGACCTCGATGTGGGTACCCGACAATCGCTCGCCGCGTTATCGAGACATATCAGAATAACCCAGCGAGAATCGATCCGGGAGGGGGGGGGGTGATTATTTCAGCGGCTCCGAAGACGATCCCATTATCGAGAGCGCGCGAACTGAATAGCGCGAGGTGAATAGCGGCGGAAAGCAGTGCTGGCGGATGCTTCGATCGGATACCGAGAAATTCGTCGCTTCTTCATCGTCGCATTCTTCGCATTCTTCAACATCGTTGGAAATCCGGTGGCGCGGCGATCCCGCCGTGAACATCGAGTCGTCGTTCTCCGCAGCGCGCGCCCGCGAGCGATCTCAGACGCGCGCGCGGCGCGATTGAACGCGCGGCGTGTATCGATTCGTCGCTTCGACGGAAATGTGGCTAAAAAGTGCCGAGAGCGGCAACTTTGGCCGCGAATGCGCATGCGCGCGCGCGCGCAACGACGTTATAACGGTAAGCCGCGCGCGCGCCGCGAGCAGCTTTCATCGCCGCATTGTTGTTTATCGCGCCTTTCGTGAGACGCTTTCCGCTGCCCCTGCCCCTCTCTTCCCCCTCTCTCCCCCCGCGCCGCGGGGAGAAACACGGCGTGTTCGGCTTGAAATCGATACGCGCCACTTCGCGGCGCCGTTGACGAGCCATGATTTTATTAACGAGAGCCCCCTTGGAGCTCCTTCGCGCGCGCGGACCCTCCTTTCCTGTCTCTGCCTTCCGCCGCCCCCTCCCCTCCGCGCCCCGGCACCCCGTGCTTCTTCGCCACGAAGTAACGGCGTTACCGGTCGTCGGTCGCTCTCTCCCCTCTCCCCTTGGCTCCCCCACCCCCTACCGCTGGTTTCCGGCGAAACTCGACACTTCGCCTGGGACGCGATATTGATCGCGGTTTCGCGGCGGAAAAGATTACCGCGATCCGCGATAACGTCACGCGCTCGGTGTTCGACCTGCCCGATAAGGGCTCTCTTTCTCTTTCTCTCTTACGCGCACCGCTAAAGTCCTCCTGCGCGTTCCGGAGCGCAGATAATACCGAGGACGTTGCACAGGGAACTCGATCTCGCTCTCGGTGATCCCGTCCTCCGAGATTGCTCGCTCACGCGAGTCTCTCGTTACCCTTCTCGAGGAGATGGATGAGAGAGAGAGGGGGAGAGCAGAGAGAGAGAGAGAGAGAGAGAGAGCGAGTGCCGCGATGTCCTCTCTGTCTGTGCGTCGGTGCCAGGACTAGATCCTGAGAACGCGTCCGCGGAAGCGCGGCGGGAGAAGAGACACGGAGCGCCGAGCTGAACGAGCGAAGCTCCAGCGCGCGCGCGGAGCGTACGTCGCAGGACCCTCTCGCGTAGAAAGCCAACCTTGACCGAGAGAGCACGCACAACCTACTTGCGGTGCATCAGGAATGAGTCGATCACCTTGCTGCTGCAGAGCGCGCCCGGCGTCGTCCTGTCGCGTCGGACGCGCGCGCGCGCGCGACGACGCGATAATTGATCGCGCGATCAAGCGGTGCGTAAACAAGTAAACGGATGAATATTCCTGCTCGTTTCCCCTCTCCCCCTTCTCTCAGTTCGACGCTCGAGTAGCGGCGACCCTTCCCGGCTACTCCGGCTCTTCGCTCGCCGAAGCGAGCGGACGATAATGATGAGACGCGCGCGCGACGTGAGAGCGTCGTCGAGCGGAATGAAACAGCCGTTGTATGGAAATCGCACGCCGCCGCCGGGATTAGCGTGCTCGGCTATCTTACTATTGCGGGTCCGCGACTCACGAGATATCTCCGCGCTGATAAGCGCATCCCGCGTCGCCTCCTCCCTCCGCGCCCTCTCGACGATGACCGATAACCGTGTCCCGCGTCGACCTCGCTTTTCACGCTTGCGTTGTTACTTCGTTAGTGGCTACGTGCTCCGGACATTGCACGTTTCTGAAACTCCCCCCTCTCTCTTTCTTTCCTTTTTCTCTCTCTCTCTCTCTCTCTCTGTCTCTCTCTCTCTCTCGTGGTCCCCCTCAGCGGGGTCAGATATTTTTCGCAACTCCGGGCCATTTATTGCTCCGATTGTTTACGCGCGTTTATCATGGCTTATCTGCGCGCGCAAGTCGCTCTGAATATTCGCGACGTCTATTTCCACGCCGGATACTACCGGGGCCTAATTAATTTAATTCAATTTTACTCGCGCCAGCCTCGTCAAGCTCGTTATTTCTGCTCGCCTTCAGGAATATTCAGCCACGTGTGGGGGGATCGTAGTTGCCGACAGTTGTCCAGGTTTCCGCGGCCGATGCGTAGACCTTCGTCGAGGACGACGAGAGGACGAGCAACGGGGGGCCTGCCGTTGCGTGGAGGGAGGGGGAGGGGGGATTCGAAAGCTCGCGATGCCTTATTACCGGCGAGACTCTAGCTCCGCTTTCTTGTTGCATCAACCAGCCGTGACCTGCCTCAACGAGCCATCGTCGAGCGCGGCAGGGTCGGATTGGCCGCGTGACAATTTCGTGAGAGAGAGAGAGAGAGAGACAGAGAGAGAGAGAGAGAGAGAGAGAGAGAGAGAGAGAGAGAGAGAGAGAGAGAGAGAGAGAGAGAGAGAGAGAGAGAGAGAGAGAAAGAGTCCTCTCGCGTCGCAACAGACGTTTACGCTCGCGGGTGAAAGATTATTTTAATCGCCTCGCTCTTGTGGAAACGTGCGACGTGTATCGACGGATAAGATACAACCGAGCTCTCATCGGTCTCGTCAGTTCTGACACTCGCGAAAAAAGAGCGGCCGAGAGATAAAGAAAGAGGGAGAAGGAGGTAGAGAAGCTCGGCTCGCGCAAACGACCCGTCGGCGTCGCTTCTTCTCGCGTCCATCTCTCCTCCTCGTGCCGCGTTTCCATTGTTCCAACCGGCCGCCGCGATAATGCGCGGCGTTTCTCTTAACCCTTTGAAGCACGAATTGTTCTATGCTAATAATAAAAGATTCTAATAATAAAGGTTCTAATAGTAAAAGAAACCGATTATGTATTTAGGGGTGTTCTGGGTCACTGATTACGAATCTGGAGTCAAAATTTTAAAATTCAAAATGGCGGATTCAATATGGCGACTTCAGATGGCTAACTTTGATATGATATTATGGATATGTATCAAACCCGGTATATATATATGTTTTCGATCATAAATTACAAATATAGAGTCGAAATTAAAAATTTCAAAATGGCGAATCCAATATGGCGACTTCAAATGGCTAACTTTGATATGCTATTATAGATTTTAATTTCGGAAATCTGATAACAAATTTGTGATCAGCGACCCAAAAAACTTCCATGTACTTATTTCTGTCGAAATTGAAGGATTTTGAACATTTTTGTCCACCATATTGGACCCGCCATTTTGGATTTTGGAAATCTGATAACAAATTCGTAATGAGCGACCCAAAAAACCTCCATGTACCTATTTCTGTCGAAATCGAAGGGTTTTGAACATTTTTGTCCGCCATATTGGATTCGCCATTTTGAATTTCGAAATTCTGATCCTGGACTCGTAATCGGCGACCTTAAAAACGTAAAATAAACAAGTTTTGTTACGATTGTTTTTATAGATCACCTCGTTATGAATGAATTTTTACTGAAAATTGTATAATTTTATGTAATTTGTTTATATTTACAGGATGCTTAAATTTAAAAAAATTGACATTTTACATTTTTTAGCACGTATATCAATACCTAACATATCTTATAGAAGTGAAAAGAATTCGGACGAGAATATCAAAAAGATAGGTTAAATAATTAAAAATGAAGAAAGAAAAGGTGGGATTGTGGGATCCCACCATGCTTCAAAGGGTTAATTGTTCTAGTTGCCAGCCTGTCGGCGGCTGCACGTCGAAAAACCGCCGTCATCATCGGCAACCTCCGGCGCGCGCGCGCGCTAACACGTGAACGTTCGCGCGCGACCTTCGCGCGTCTGCACCGCCAAGGTAAACGTCGCGCCGCTACGTCAATATCGCGCGCCACCTTCGGCGTGATCGGGAATGCGTCATCGCGGCTGACAGCTCGCTGAATACCTGCGTTCTTACGTTGGTCCCGTTGCGCTAATTACGCCTCGTTCGCAAGCTCGCGAGATTTCAGCGCACACGCCAAGTCTTCGAGGCTCCGCGAAGCTGACGAAAGGAGCCGCTTGAAAATTTCGCTGGACCTTGGGGGAGGGGGATTACGATACGCGCGCTCGCGATCCTGCGGCATCTTCATGGTTCGACTAAAAGGTTGAGCTAAGGTGGCGATGAACGAGCCGAACGCCTTTCTTCGGCTCGTTCGTAGGCAATCACGTTAATTGCACCCGACCTTTTCCCCTCGTCCTCGCAGATCTATGTATCCCGAGATCGCCTCGAAGCGAGAGGGGGAGGGAGAGAGCTGCCCCTGGCATAGCAAGTGCTGAACCCGCTATTCCGCCGCTTCTGTTTTCAGAGTCCCTGCGCGACTACAACGGACTGTCGGCGGACCTTTACAAGCCCTCCAATTACGACAAGCTCGCGCTGTCGCTCCTCTCGCCGCTGCCCAACGAGCAGGACTTCGCCATCAACGTCTGCACTCTCCTGTCGAACGAGGGTAAGCACACCCTGCGGCTCGACAAGTACCCCCGGCTGGTGAACATCCTCCTGGCGCACGCCGGCGTGTTCGACTCGCCCGGTACGCGGCAGCTCTTCATCGAGGTGTACTCGCGCGTCCGCAACTACTCGATCAACTCCTTCTGGTCGGACGTGCTCGACTCCCAGGACGTGATAGATCTCACGAACGAGAGGGCCTTCATGAAGAAGCCACCCACCCACCTGCCGACGTTCTCCAGACGGAAGACACTCGAGAAGGAGAAGCAGAGCAAAGGCAGTGCCGGCCTCGCGTCGACGACGGAGAGCGAGGAGTCGACGACGACGGCGACGACGACGGCGACGGCAGCGACGACGACGGCGGCGGTGACGACAACGACGACGACGACGACGGCAGCGGCAACGACGACGGCAACGACGACGACAACGACGACGACGACGCAGCAGCAGCAGCAGCAGCAGCAGCAGCAGCAGCAGCAGCAGCCGCCGATAGACGTCGACGGGGTGAGACGCGAGTTCTCTCTCTCTCTCTCTCTCTCTCTCTCTCTCTCTCTCTCTCTCTCTCTCTCTCTCTCTCTCTCTCTCTCTCTCTCTCTCTCTCTCTCTCTCTCTCTCTCTCTCTCTCTCTCTCTCTCTCTCTCTCTCTCTCTCTCTCTCTCTCTCTCTCTCTCTCTCTCCTCTCTCTCTCTCTCTTCTCTCTCTCTCTCTCTCTCTCTCTCTCTCTCTCTCTCTCTCTCTCTCTCTCTCTCTCTCTCTCTCTCTCTCTCTCTCTCTCTCTCTCTCTCTCTCTCTCTCTCTCTCTCTCTCTCTCTCTCTCTCTCTCTCTCCTCTCTCTCTTCTCTCTCTCTCTCTCTCTCTCTCTTCTCTCTCTCTCTCTCTCTCTCTCTCTCTCTCTCTCTCTCTCTCTCTCTCTCTCTCTCTCTCTCTCTCTCTCTCTCTCTCTCTCTCTCTCTCTCTCTCTCTCTCTCTCTCTCTCTCTCTCTCTCTCTCTCTCTCTCCTCTCTCTCTCTCTCTCTCTCTCTCTCTCTCTCTCTCTCTCTCCTCTCTCTCTCTCTCTCTCTCTCTCTCTCTCTCTCTCTCTCTCTCTCTCTCTCTCTCTCTCTCTCTCTCTCTCTTCTTAACGCTCTGTTTGAACTTTTAATCCTTGAGATCTTTCGCGGGATCGCAACACAAAGCTGCCGGCCGCTAATTCTCCTTCTTCCGCTTCCGAGATTCTGAAACGTCGTCTCGTTTGTGCTCGCTCGCAGGTTCTCCCGGACTGCCCACGGCTGGATCCGCTCGTGTCGTCGCATTCGGATGAGAGTCTGAAGGATCAGAACCAAAATTCCATCAAGTTCGAGGAGGAGGACAAGGATCTGTTCTGCGTCGGCCGGACGTTAGGCACGCAGGACCCGTACGGGCAGCGCGTGCTGCAGATCGCGTCGATCCTGCGGAACCTCAGCTTCACGCCGGAGAACGCCACGGTGTTGGGCAGGAACCGGTGTTTCCTGAGATTCGTGTTGCTGTGCGTGAGGGCGAGGTGGAGCAATCTGCATCAACTCGGCTTCGACATACTAGGGAACATAGCGAATGAAATTATTCTAAAGGAGGCCGGCGACAGGATATCGGACGTCGTATTGTCGTGCGTGGCCCGGGGAATCGAGTCCCAGGACAGGTTTATCGTGATATCCTGCCTCGAGGTGCTTAATAAGATCAGTCAGCAGGACAGCAACGAGGAGATCGTCACGTTCGGTTTGGCGGACGGTGTATATGAACTTATATGCAGGTGAATACGTATGCATTATACAGGGTGTGCATGTATGTGTGTGTGTGTGTGTGTGTGTCTGAACTATACCGATAGATTTGCAGGATTCTATGTCGAAAAATAAGCGAGGAAGTCTCGGTATAAACATACGTCCGCAAAGACTTGACTTTTCTTTTCTGAAATCAGCCTTCAGAAGATGACAACGATGTCTGGGAGAAAATGTGTCGCGATGAGCGAGTTAGGAAGGCTAATACGACACGCTAATATAACACGTTCCTTTCTTATTTTGGAAGATAATGCTCATCAATTTGGATAATTTCTGAATATTAAGTGAAGAATCGTTTACCGTGGCGTCGTCTACGCTTTTGAAGACTTTGCAAATGTAGGAGAGGTTTTTAAAAATTTTTTTGTCCGGATGTGTGTCTAGTTATCCATAAAACACGATTTAATGGATAAAAAAAGAATATATATATATATTTTTTTTTTTTTAATTCTAGGACGGCAACCGTATCTCAGAAATTAAGAGTGCTATTCAGAGACATGTAAAACCGTAATAATCTTACTTTAGTTCTGGATTAGTTAATCCTTCGACAGTCTGGCCTACCGTGGACTAACGATAAATTAAGACTATATTAGTCAGAGACATTTTCCCGAAATGGTTTAAATTTGAATAAATCCGGACTGAAAAAATCAAACCCTTCGGACGGGATATAGTAGGATCTTGTATTTAATCATCTTAAATTTATCTTCAGATATTTCGTAGCCAATGAAATTCAATCACCGAGAATTGTCAAAGCGCGTCTTTGGAGATTCGTGTTTACGTTTTGAGACTCTTTTTCAACTTGTGATAGCAAAATTATTTTCAATGGGATACATCAAATAAAATAAAGCAAAGTAGGAAAGTTAACTGGATCACAGAGGAGGAAAGTTTCCTGACAGGTTCAATGTTAAAAAACGTCCAAAAAAGAACATTACCCAGAAAAGATGCATGGACACAAATACAGATAAAGCCATGAAGCAAGAATATTAGAAGGAAATTCTTGATGTGATGGATATGTCTCAGGACATATACAGGGTGTTCGGGATCTCTTGGCAGCGAAAACTTGTGAAGATTAATCAGATGAACTGAGAAGAAAAGTTATGTATCATTTTGCAAAAATCGCAATAGTTATTAATGGTTGAAAATGACCACATCTAGAGGCTCTTTTAATAGATAACTTGAAAATTTGAGTACTTATCTGCAAAATGATAAAGGACATTTTATTCAGAATGACCTAATCTACAATTATATGGCGGCTATTGTGTCTAGCGGTAGATATGAGTATATTGAACTTTGAACCCTGAATCTTGAACCTGTTGCTAGGCACAATAGCTGTCATATAATTGTAGATAGGGTCATTCTGAACAAAAATGTCCTTTACCATTCTGCAAACAAATACGCAAATTTTCAAGTTATCAATTAAAAGAATCTCTAAAGGTGATCATTTTCAATCATTAATAACTTAATAACTACTGCAATTTTTGCAAAATAATACTTGACTTTGCTTTTCAGTTTGATCTGATTAATCTTCACAATTTTTCATTTCTAAAATATTCCGGACACCCTGTACATACGCCCCTGTAGCAGTTAAAAGATTAAACCAACCTTAGACTATCCCTACAGTTTAAATTTAAATTTAAGCTAGATTAGATCTGATACAAGACTAATGTCCACTTCTGCCAGCATTGTCAACTTAACCGGCTGGTTATTCCAACGGAATTAGCCAATCGCGTTTGTCGTTAATCAGTATTGGCAAGTGCGATTGGTCAATTCCGATGGGATAACCAGACTAGTGGCTATAAATCAACTACAATTTGACCACAGAAACGGGCATGAATTATAAAACAATACCTCTGAATAGAAATGTCGTTGGTCTTTTATTTTTTACACTACTGTTAGACTACGACTAAACCAAGCTCGTTTTGTCTCTGAATAGCACCCTAAGCTTTCGAGGACACACATTTACTAAGAGCCGTTTATTTATTTATTTTCTGATATAGAATCTATCGCATGTATCGGTGGAGTTGAGACACACCCTGTATAAACACGCATATTCTCACTCGAATCCTTCGACATCCGTGCGGCGCGCTTCTCGCAGGGACTTCTTGATTCTTACGTACTCCCTGATCAGTTCAGCCAGAAATCAGTCATTGGAGAAAGTATCGCTTTGCAAAAGTAGTCCGTTATCGTCACTCGCTACTCACTGACAGAGAGCAACTCGTCATCGTCTCGCCGTTACCGGCGGCAAGAACATAAAGTCTGGCAAGAAGGGCGACGGAAAGTCACCGAAGGAAAGAGTAACCCGCCGCGCAGCACTCGCTTGATCTCTAACGGACGCTCCTCGTCCTCTGTGTTATGCCCCGCAGATTTCTAGCCCTGAGCGACATAGCTCTCTTAGTGTATACCCTCGAATGTTTGTACGCTTTAACCTCGCTGGGTGAGAGACCGTGCACGAGCGTGGCGCGGGTGCGCGGCGCCATCGACACGCTGGTCGCCCTCGTCACCGTGGAGGCGCAGAGTTACGGCCCGAAGGCGTGCATCCTGATGAGAGTGGTCGAGACGGTGTCGACGGTGGCGTTGCCGCAGAACAACGCGCAGAACGCACCGGCCACTCCGGTCGCGCCGACCACGACGGCGTCCACGTCCACCCCTAACCCGTCTACCACGGCCACCATCACCGCGACGCCAGCGGCCGTCAGTCCGGCGCCATCCCGACCTACGACTCCGGCCACGACCTCGACCAAGTCGACAACGCACAGTACGTACATGTTGCCGCGCAAGTTTAAGCGTGGAACAGCTTCGTTCAAGTAGCGTGCAAGTCGTGTATCATCTTCTCCGTGTTCCCTGTCCCCCCACGTGTAGAAGCAGTGGAGACGGCCAACGCGATCCAGCAGCAGAACGCGCATCAGCAGATCATACAGGAGAACGAGCAGTTCGCTTTGGGCTGGGTGAGGGCGACGTTCGAGCTTGCGCCGGGCGTGCGCATCGAACAAGAGGAGCTGTACAAGAAGTATCTCGGCTGCTGCACGAAGATCGGCAGGCGGGGCGTGATAGCGCCGCTGCACTTTCCGAGATGCGTCAGGTAAGAGAGCCCAGTGAAAGAGGTGCGGACTATCGCGATGTTCTTCGCTATATTCCCATCGCCTCGAGTCTTGGACTGCGAATCGCCGTGAAGGCTGCGTCGAGCGAAGGTATTCTTTGCGAGCGTCTGAAAGACACCCCCGACGCTCGAAGCTCACTGCGTCTCTAGATTTCCTTATTCGCTGATGATTCGTAACGACTAGCTCGGCTCGGCACCGCACACAGAGCGATCGTCTTGCTTCTGAGCAAAGCTCGAGCAGTCTGAGAGCGATATTCCCAGTCAGTTTGTGTACTTAAATTGCTGATCCGCGGGAGGAACTCCCGTAGAGAAGAAGATTTGAAATTCGGACAGGAAATTGTGTCTTGAGTCTTCGTCAGGTGCTTCGTAGCTGACGAAATGGCTCTCGTACAGTGTCTTGCGCGATAAGCTCAAGAGCATCTTACGTGTGAGACCTGACTGTGAACGGCACTGAAGGACTAACTGACGCGCACACATATTCACTCACTCGCTCATCCCGTACACATACGCGACGCTGTGTTTTCTCTCTGTGCAGATCCGTTTTCGGCAATATCGTGGGGCCGAATCCGTTGAAGGGCGAGAACACCGGTACCCAGTATTACGAAGGCATCCGAGTACGGTCGACGCCCGCACCGATCACTTATCCGAGCCAAACTGCTGCGGTCGTTACTAACACAGCCCCGATTCAGGCGATCAACGCTACTCCAGTAAAGGTGCTTCCCGTTCAACAGCGTACAGTCAAGAATATAAGCCCCGCACCCGATAGCACGGTCCCAGCCGATAATCCCGCGTCCGGGACGCAAACGACTCCCATAACCCCCGCGTCTCCGATCCTCAAGGCCCATTTATCCGCCCCGCCGAAGCCCCCGTCCAACACCCCGAGTCAGTCCCTAAATCCAGTGACCAAGGTTGATTCTAAAAGTCAGGTGGGTCCGAGTCCTAACTCTCTGTACCGTTCTCTGCCATTCGTTCGTCCGTTCGTTCGTCCGATCGTTCGTTCGTTCGTTCGTTCGCTCGTGACCTTGGTTCTTCTCACTTTTGGTTGTAGCTTCGTAACGCTATTCTTAATTGTTGGTTTCCCACCTAACACAAAAGCTACAGTTTATTGCTACTACTACTACTGCTACTACTACTCCTACTACTACTACTATTACTACTACTACTACTACTACTACTACTACTACTACTACTACAGTTTACTACTACTACTACCGCTGCTGCTACTACCACTACTACTACTACCACTATTACTACTACTACTACCACTACCACCACTACTACTACTACTATTCCTTGCCGTAACATAACACACACAGGTGCGAGAGTTTACTCTGCATGCCACGTGGAATCTTCTCGACTTAGCTCCGCGAGCTCGCCGGGTGTCGTGTATAGACGAGTGTAGAACGTAGACTGTAAGAGTACGAAGTATCTCTGAAGTATCTCTGAAAGTCCGCTCTTTCGTCTGTCTACTCTACGACCTTGAGGCGTCGTTAAACTCCGTCTATACTAGGGACGATACTTTCTGTTCGCATCGTCGCTGCGGTCTTTAGTAGAATATCGATCGGATTCGTTTCCGTGGGATCATCATTGTTGCATATCGCGATTCTACGCTTGCCAAACGCTTCCTTCGACTGTGCGAATTTTACGCTACACGTACGGAGAGATCTCTATATATTTTCTATATATACATATGTATATGAAATGCATATACAGGGTGTTAAAGAAGTATACACGACAAACCTTGAGAGATAATAGAAGATGTGTAAATAAGCAACGTGCGACAGGAAGAGACGTAAGATGTTGAAGAAGAATACCGTTATTATATAATAGCATCTTACCAGCGTATCTTTTTGCATATGTAAATAAAAGAAATGCGCTCAATTTTAGCCAAATACAGCAATATCAGCACATAATTAGCTAACTATGTTTACATTGCGCAATTTACATTAAATAATGGGAGGATGTATTTTGTCAATGGAAATATCGGGTCTTTGTACATTGTTACATGGTTCCATTTTCTGCGTTTCTTACGTTCTGAGATTATTGAATTATTACTTTGTTTATTGGAAATTGAGTGCATCTCTTCGTTATTATTACGTATACCGAGTGTCCGGGATCTTTTGGAAAGGAAAAATTGTGAAGATTAATCAGATCAAACTGAAAAGAAAAGTCACGTATCAGTTTGAAAAAATTACGATAGTTATTAAGTTATTATTGATTGAAAATAGCCACATCTAAAGGCCCTTTTAATTGATAACTTAAAAATTTGCGTATTTATTTGAAAAATATGAGTACAGGACTTTTTTCTTCAGAACCTAGTCTACAATTAGATGATGTCTATTGTGCCTAGCAACAGGTTCAAGATTTAGGGTTCAAAAATCGCAATTATTAATGATTGAAAATGACCACATCTAGAAACTTTCTCAATTGATAGCTGGAAAATTTGCAAAATAAAACGAAAAAGTTGTGAAGATTAATCAGATCAAACTCAGAAGAAGAGTCAAGTTACCATTTTGCAAAAATCGCAATAGTTATTGAGTTATTAATGATCGAAAATGACCACATCCAGAAGCTTTTTTAATCAATAACTTGAAAATTTGCGTACTTATTTGCAAAATAGATAGATATGAGTATATTGAACTTTGAACTCCGAATCTTGAACCTGTCGCTAGACACAATAGCCGTCATATAATTGTAGACTAAACCATCCTGAACAACAAAGTCCTTCACCATTTTGTAAATAAATACACAAATTTTCAAATTACCAAATATATAAGAGCTAAATGTGGCAATTTCCAATCAATTAAATCAATTAATAACGACAAGTATTGCGAAACGTTTTGCAAAACGGTGCTTTTCTCCTCAGTTTGAGTTGATTAATCTTTCCAATTTTTCGTTTCCAAAAGATCCCGGACGCTCTGTATAAAAAGGCATGTCGATAAAGTGCAATTGTATAATAACGGTATTTTTCTTTAACACCTCACACATAATTGGTTTCCGACCGTTAATTTTCCATGCTGCGTATCTACATATCCTCCATTATTATCTCTCAAGGTTCGTTGCTACACTTTTCCAATGTCCTGTACGTATGCATTTCGCGCATACATACCTGTATCTATTATGTATCGCAGCATGTGTTTCTCTCGCATACATCTAAGTTGCGCAACTCTTCTCTTTTTTTTCCAAAACGCCGGCATACACAACAACAGTACCCAGGGTCCGCGTGGTGGTTGAAAATTTGTATGTTGCCTCCTTGTCGATTAGGTATCAGTATCGCATCCGCACCTGAGCCAAGCGTTGCTAGCCAGCGGCTCTCAAACGCCGCAGCAGCATCAGCAGCACCAACAACAACAACCGCAACAATTTCATCATCAGCCGCAGCAACAGTCACAAAGTATCCAGGTAGTTGCTAAGGAAGATAATCGAAGTGGCACTACGTCGAGTTCCATTATAAAGAGCCTATTGGCTACTAAGGTAACAGTCAGCAGCGACTGCATGCCCAGTGCTGCTGCGACTTGTGTGTCTACCCCTACTGCCTGCGTAACAAACACTACTGCTAGCATCGCATCCAGCATCAGTGCCAACCAGCTAATAACCAGCAACCAGGTATCATTGTTGTATATTAACAAGAATAAGTAGTCCGTTCTTCTTGGTTTTTTTTTCTTTCCTCTTTTTTTATTTTTTCTCTCTCTTTCTCGTCCGTAAGTTATGTATATATATATATATACACACACACACACAAAGGTGAATGTTTTTAATCTTAACAGGCAAATATTTCGAAAATATACAATTTTACAAAAAAAACTTTTTAAATAAAAGTTGTATGATGTCGAGGGGGACGTACAATAGTGACCTTGATTTGATCTTGGAACATCTACTTAAGGTCAAAGGATGGTCAACCTAATTTTCTCAAATGGAACCTCCTATTTTCATATCATATTCTTATAGTTGACTTCAAGACCTTTCCAAAACGCTATAATAAAATATTTTTTGTCGAGTACTTTCCGAGTTATGAGACTCAAAAGTTAACAGGTGAAGGTTAAGTCAATCCACTATCTTAAAACGATTAGGTTTGAGACAAAGAAAGAATGATGACCTTAGTTGACTTCGAGGTCTGTCTTCAAGCTCAGGTCGAGGTCACCTTGAGGTCACTTTTTAAATACACTTTTTATTCTAATTCTACTTTTAGCGCTACCCAGGAACAACGGCGTGGACGTAGTAGTTTTCTGTTTCTTTTGGGGTGCTTGATTTCCGTGAGTCCCCTTACCTCTCACGATTTACGTGAATTTATAACATGGCGTACAATAGGTCACTATTGTACATCTATGTGGCAGCGTCTTGAATCTCTAGCTCATCTTTAGTCTCATAACTCGGAAAGTACTCAATAAAAGAATACTTTATTATAGCGTTTTGAAAAGGTCTTGAAGTCAACTATAAGAATATGATTTGAAAAATAGGGGGTTCCATTTGAGAGAATTAGGTTGACCATCCTCTGACCTTAAGTAGATGTCGCAAGGTCAAACCAAGGTCACTATTGTACGTCCTCCTCGACATCATACAACTTTTATTTAAAAAGTTTTTTTTTTCTTTTTTTTTTAATTGTATATTTTCGAAATATTTGCCTGTTAAGATTAAAAATACCCTGTATATATACACATCTAGCTCAGGTCGCGAGTACTCTTCGTTATCATTCCCCCGGAGTCTCTCTGGCTCTGCCCTCCTCGCTTCCCTGCCGCCAACGGGGATCGCGTTGACTGCGAGTGATAACGCGTAATGAGAAATCGTTGGGCCCACTTTAGCGAGTTACGTTAAGCGACTAGGCGACACATACACGCTTCGCGTGTGATAAAATCTTTCTCTCCCATGCAAAATATCCCTCTCCCTCCCTCCCTCTCTCTCTCTCTCTCTCCCCCTCCCCCTCCCCCATCTCTCTCTCTCTCTTTTTCTTTTATATCGATCATCGTTGTTGTCGTTGTCGTCGTCGTCGTCGTCGTCATCATCGTTTTATTACGTATACACGAGGTGAATAATTTGTTAACGACACACGCCACACGCAGCGAGACATCTCGCGAGTTGATACTCGTTTCTCTTTTCCACACACACGTTTTGTTTCCGTTTTCCTTTCCCTGTTTTTTCTTTTTTGTCTTTTTTGTACTACTCGTGTCAGTGTCTGTGCTTATATGACGTAGCGTTTGATTGATGTATTCGGATTTTTGTCGCTTCCTCGTTTCCGTTCCGGTATGCGAACTCGGACCAAAACGTCGTCCCCCATCCTTTCCCTTCTTGACGAGTCTCGACGACATCGAGATCAGAGGGGCCGATGGGAGCGACATTTAACGGAGTGCTATTCTGGATTTGAAATTTGAAATAGTCGTGACGACTGTCAAGTGTACTAACATCAGCATGGTTTTCGATTGTTCTCTCTTTTTTACATACACATACACACGCGTTTCTCCTCCCCGGCGAGGTGTGGTATGTGCGGTCGTTGGAAGAGAATAAGAAAGGAAGGACCGATTTCGATCGAAGACGCCCAGACTTCAGCTGGCCTCAGCATGTAACCGCCGCGAATCGCTCGTTCCAGGTCGCCCAACGCCAGCAACAGCAGAGGTTACTGCAGCAGCAGATGACGGGCGTGTTGCAGCCCGCCGCGCCCGCGGCCACGCCAGCCACAATACTCCCAAAGACTCCTGTGAACGCCAAGCAGAAACCGGCAATCGCACCAATTCCTGCCAAAAAGATACAAAGGCTCAACGGGGCCAAGTTCGTCGTGACTAATAACTGCGAGAAGGTGCGCGTGAGTAGCTAGCTTCAAAGTCCGCCTTTCGAGAGAGTAGTCGCCCTTGGTCTCACATTGGCCTTCTTCTCTGCCTGCCATTGTTTCAGACTGAAGTAAACGATAACGACAATGCCAATCAAATCGTCACGTCCACCACCACGGTGGTGCTGAACTCGACTGAGAACCACATATCCTCGTCACCGGCGAAGGTCTGCCGGCCGCCGTTGACGGCGACGAGCGTCGTCACCAGTACGGCCGCCGCCGCCGCCGCCGCCGCCGCGGCTGCGGCCGCGGCCACGGCCGCCAACAAGACGAATCAACGCTCCACGTGTACTTCCATCGCCGAGGACTCGGACTCCACCAACAACTCGTTGGCGTCGAGCAGCGGGATCGGCGGCAGCAGAGATTGCTCCGGCGTCGGCGTCGAGGAGGAGAACTCGTTGACGAGCTTCGAGGGTATCCTTCTCAACGGCGCGCCGAGCAACATGGACATCGACACGCAGGAGGACGGCTCATCCAAGGACTCGTCGAGCGTGAGCTCGAAGGAAAAGCCGCTGCAGAGCATGATGCTGGCGGATCTGCTGGAGAGGAAAGTCGACAAGGAGCCGATGCTGAACGGCGTGCTCGGCAAGAACTCGATCAACGAGAAGGAGATGGATCTGGTGGAGAATCACATAAAGAAAGTATTAAAGGAATCTCCGACCGAGCTGAAGATCAAGCCCGAGGTCGAAGGCGGCAACGTCATACAAAACGAGGTGTCCGAGGACACGCTGATAGAGGCGCCGAGAGGGATCAAGAGGTCGGCCAGCGAGTTGGATGAGCTGGAGATTAAGAAGCCCAAGTATTCCAACGGCACGATGTCGCCCGACCCTGCCGTCGATTCCACCACGGCGGAGTCGACGGTGTCGAGCATCAAGTCAGAGGACGACGACAAGGACAGCGAGAAGGCCACCGTTTCGTCCACCGCGGCGAATCTCTACGCCGCCCTGGCGGCGGACTGCATAGAGGACGAGACGGATCTCGAGGAGCAGCCGAACGTCAACAAGGACACCCTGAAAGAAGAGGTTGCTCCTCCTCCTCCACCACCGCCGCTTCATGTGAAGGCTGAGGTGACGCCTGTACTGCTGAAGGAGGAGCCACCGTTGCAATGCATCAAAGAAGAGGCACCGACGCCTCACATATTCATCAATCAGATCAATCAGATTACCACCCAGGCGCAGCCGCCGCAACCGCCGCCGCCTCAACCACCGCCGCCGCAGCAGCAACTCATAGTGGCCACGTCGAGGCAGATAGTGGTCCAGCCGGCGATCCAGTCGAACAACCAAATGATCATTCCCACCACGACGGTGAAGGGTAGACCGCCACCGCCTCAACCGCAAGTGTTACTGCAGCAGAGCGCGGGCGGTCAGCTGCAGTACGTAGTGTCCGGCGCCATGCCCGGTCAGAACTACGTGCTAGCGCAACCACAGACGACCCTGATGCAAGGGCAGGGTCAGACCGTGCTGCTGGCGCAGACCACGCCGCAGCAAGGCACCGGCACTAAGACGATCATCATCCTGCAGTCGCAGACCGCCCCGCAGTCGGCTCCGCAGAAGATGGTGGCGGTGACGCCGCAGGGTCAGCCGGTGGTGGTGGCACAGGTGCAACGGCCGATCCTGCAGAGCCCGGCGCTCAGCAACATCCCGCCGCCTCTTGTACCAACG